TTTGAGAGATCCATGCTCTCATTCTCTGTCAGAAACAAATTTCAAAACTAATTTTAAATTTAGTAAGACTTACTGAGCTAACTGTGCTAAATGCTACTACACAGCTTAAATGTTAGCTTTGTAATAGTTTGTTGTGAAATATTGAAATCATGTTTAACTGCGGGGCTGTGGACCAGCGACTACCCTCTTTCACACAATGTGATGTTGCCTCTTGTCCTAATTATTGGTCAAAATAACAATAAAGCTTCTTTATACAACATATAACAGCAAAAGAAGCTTTTATTCCAGTGATTTGAACACAGCTAATATTATTATTGTTTATAATATGAGACACGTTACATTTCCAGGCGTGCAAAAGATGCGTCTGTACAGAAGGTAAATCTGGAATTGGCCACAAAAATCTCAGATCAGTGCATCTTGAGTTTAACGGTTTTACCTTGAGGCTCTCGCATCAAAGGGTGACAATCAAGGGAAGAGATGGGTGAAAAAAAACGAGATGGCCACTGGCTCAGGATGGTTGGGGTCAGTGCCATCCATTCACCCCATCTCTCCCCGCAGGGCCTCTCTGTCTCTCTCTCATCCGTCTGGATGGGTGCCCTCTCTCTGGGGCATGACACTGTGAGAAGCCCTGGCTCCGCTACCGTCTCTGCCTTTCATGTCTCCATCTAGGGCAGCGGTATAGAGACGCGGAGCGGAGGACGGAGGAGAAGGTGGGGGTTTTGGGGGTGGCTACAAATGTCACCCATAAGCGGGGATTTAATTAAAAATGACAGGGGCTGGTGCTGGAGAGTGCAGCCACATATGCGAGGAATTTGGGTGCAGTGAAAGCAAGTGCCTATGATTTATAATTCAAGTAATGCTCTACACTCCTTTTAATTCTACAGCCAAAGAGAAAAATATCAAAAGGCTGCCCCTGTGAGGCTAATCCAATATGATATTTTTAAGGGCAGGCGGTCAATAGCTCTCTGAAAAGCCAGCTTCTCTGTCTCCCTTTCTGCTTCTGTCTTTTCTCCACTTGTCTGTCTCTCCCTATCTCACTCTGCTGCCTCCCTCCCTCCTTTCTCTCCCAGTGCACTCCTCGCTCTCCAGTACATCACCCCGCCCCTTTCAAAGCCCAGACTCGGAGCGGGCTGTGATAATGGAAACATCCCGCTCTCCGCCTCCCGTTTCTGCTGCTAAGCTCTGCGCGCTCGGGGGAAATTGATTGTCTGGCTAGCCGATCTGAGCGCTTCCAGCTGATGGTAGAGCCAGTTAAGTCCTTTTTTATTGAGGGTATGAGGGATTTTTAATGGGAGTCGCATCAATGAACTGTGCAGCCACTCAGCATCTGCATGCAGGGGTTTTTTTTAAAAAAAAAAAAAAGCTTCTTCTCGTGCTCTCATCCCGACTACACACACACACACACACACACACACACACACACACACACACACACACACACACACACACACACACACTCTCTCTCTCTCTTAAAATGTTTCAGTAAAGGACAGCAGATGCAAATGGCACCGCTCACTCTTTCCTCCCTGCCAGTGCTCCCACTCTGTGCTCTCCTCCGCAGCCTGGGTCACCTTACCCACGACCAGACTCCATTCTAGCAAAATCTGGGCCACGACCAATCAGTCACGCGGACCCGGCTCCGTGTGGCGACCTGAGTTTGCCCACTCCAGCAGCCAGACCCACTGTCTGCTTCTCTGAACCCCTTCTGGGTTTGGACGAACAATCGCCTTATTGAGGCCAAGTGCTGCACAGTGGTGGAAATCCAACACTAACCACCCCCTCCCACCCAAGGACAGAAAGAAGGCTATTATGTCCAAACGTCCTCATTATGAACCTCGGACCCGGCCGCTGGAGCAGTCCTTCAATCAAAGGGTTTAACAGGTGGGGAAGTGGGGCTAGACATAGAGGGTCAGTAAGAGGGAGGGGAAAGGGGAAAGACTGGAGACTGTTCTTTTTCTCTATTGATTTGAGTCCTAACTCACACTGGCTGCTCCTCAATAAAGAACCTTGAGAGGAAGTGGGCTAATCCTGTGAAATTGGAAGTGGGGAATCGATTAAGAGCACTATTGAGGATTTCCTCCATTTCTCCTTCCTCCCCCTCCATCTTTTTGCCTTTACTAATTATATTTTCAACAGTCCATCTTGCTCTCCTCCTCCCCCCCTCTCGGTTCGCCGTTCCCTGAAACTTCATTAGTGAACATCGGCGAACCTTTTCTCAGATAAGGAGCCACACCTTCCAACCGACCACAGAGCTTCATAATCTCAAGTTTCCTCTCTCTGTTCCTCTCTCTGTGCTGTAGCTCCTTGTGAATCATCCCCACAGAAACAAGAAAAAAGTGAACTCCAGATCTGAGGACAAAAGTAGCACAGAGTCACCTTGCTGGTGCTGGTTTCTGTAACAGACTACTGAAGTGTTATTTGAGCAGAGAAGTAGCTGGTTGGTTAGCAAGAAGCCAAGTTACTACAGTATGAAATATTCATATAGATGAATGAATCTAGAGCCTTGCTAGAGTATCAAACGCTTTGAACACTCAGATTTTATCGCGTTAAAATGACAAACCTGAGTGTGTTTCAGTCGTGTCATATATAAATATATATAAAAAGTCAAGCCAAGGTCATGAAAAGTTGTGAAATTGGATAAAATTGGAAAATGTCATTTTTTTTTACAAGAAAAAGTCAGAAAAATATGGCTTTATATTAATATTCATATCCTTTTCTATGATACCCAAAGATAAAATCCTGCAGCTCAGGTGGGAGATACTATTGAAAGTTACACGGTTGGTCATGCGTGCCTTTTTCCTTTTCAGTGAATGTACATCGTAATAAACACACTATCTGTAGTGTGTTTGCTGTAGTGGAAGCATCATGCTGTGGGACACTTTTCTTTAGCAGGAACATGGGAGCTGGTCAGAGTCGATGGGGTTAGAGGAATGGAGGAAGTGCAGGTTAATCCTGGAAGAAAAACTGGATGAAAAGGAGCAAAAAGTGCATTTCTGAAATGCCACATTTTTCACCTTTTTTGCAATAAGTAAAAAAATTAAAGCCATGTATCATAATTCTTCCACCTTACAATTTATACTTTGTGTTTATCAAAGAGATCCTGCTATTCTCACTCATTCTGGTTTTGTATCTTATGCCTCATTCGATAGCTTAGATTATCCTGAATCATCTCTGTAGTCCTGCTGCTGTTGGCTTAGGCTACCAACCGAACGCTTTTCCCCACTTTCTCCTTCTACTGCTCTCTAATTTGCATTATTTGTTGTTATTTGAGCTGTCAACTTTGTGCATTATCTTGGGGTTTTTCTCTCTCCAGGGCAGCTACATCTGGTCTAGTGTTATGTTTGGCTCCGGTACCTTCCTGGATGAGGCCATTGGCTGTGAGAAAGCTACCAACAACTAATGGTTCTCTCACTCCTGCTATTAACTTTGTACTTTTCATGAACATAAAAAGTACTCCTGCACCTTCTATTTATTTTTTTGTATGTCCGCTTTGTCTCCTCAGACTCCCCAGTCGGTCGAGACTCCTTACGTTTGCACAAAGTCAGGTGCTGCTGGAGTCTTTCCTCTCTATGATCGCTCCATGCATGTTCAGTGTGAGGGATCGCTGCGATGCAAGTGATTGTCCACTGTTGGTCCAGGAGGACTGAAGGCTGCCAGTCAAGGACTCAAAGCAATTTTCTGGGTTGTGCCCATCAGGAGGAGTTACAATCAGCTCGAAGGAGCTCATGTGTTTTCCATGTAAACAGCAGCTGTGATACATTCAAGGACAGTTTACTACAGAGAAAATTAACACTTCTCTCACTTATTAAAAAGGTGCTTAGGAGAAATTCACTTTCCTGATGGCTGCAGCTCTCTCTAATCCCAGCCGGGTTACAGCCAGCTCTGCGAGGTCTTTTACAGTTTTCCACCCTCGCTCTCCTCTGTCCCTTTACTGCATTTTGTGAGCAGACAGAGGACGGTGCTCGGGGAACAAACGCAGCAGCTGCCACGCTTTAGATGCGGCCGGCACGTCCAGGGCCAGACACTGTAAATGTTTACAGACCCTGAGGGTCAGCGGTTGCCAGCGAGGCCCGTTAAACAGTGTCTGTTCAGCCCTGTTGTCACGACTGCACAATCAGCAGAGTTAAACAGCCTCCCCCACAATGAGTAGCCAAACAACTCGGCAATCCAAGGTCTAAGTGCAAATTGAATGAAACTGTTTAGAATTCCACAGGGCGGCGAGGGAACAAAGTGACAACAATGGAAACTTTTCGTTCACCTCACTGTCCTGGTCAACCACCGACCTCCAACATTGAGCGCGAGCAGCAGATTAAACAGAAACAACAAACACACAGGGTTCCTACACATCTGTCGACGAGGCTTTTTCATCCTCGGCTCTCCAGATTTCTCAGTCTTTAATGGTCCTTGCAAAATTTAAAATACTAAAGATAAACATGCTTATGACAGGCATTTCTACAGTGTTGGTGACAGAAGAGAAGAAGGATACAAGAAAGGAGAGAAAGGAAAGTTAAAATGAAGGCTGGAAAGACAAAAGAAGGGCAAGAAGTAGGGGCACAAGAAGGAAAGGAGGAAAATATGCAAGGACACGAGGAAGAAATTAAGTTGTAAAGGAAGGAAAGACAGAAAGAAGGCAGGTGTTACCGAATGATAGCAGAATGGATAAAATGAGGAAAGAAAGGAAGGCAAAAAGGAAAGAGGGAAGGACAGATATAAGGAAGAGAATGATGAAGCTTGGACACAAAGATGGGATTAAGCATATCAAGAATGAAAAAGAATAAACAAATGAAGGACAATTAGAAGAAAGGACATAGCATTTAGACACACAGAGTCTCAAAGTCCAAATATTTTTCCGTACTCATCCAGGCCTGGAAAATACTGAAATCAAATTCCAAAAATTTCCAGGCTTTCTCAGACTCGGTAGATCACCTAAACATAGGCATCCTGAGTTGAAGCGGAGCCGAACACCTGACGCCCGCCAATCACTAGTCTTGCTAACTTACATTTCCGTCCGAGGACTTGCGGCGGCTCCAAGGTCTTGCTGACACACACCGGGTGCTGGGGCGGGGGGTTCTGCCTCCTCTGCAGACAGGCCAGCATGGCGAGGTGGGCACAGTATTACAGCCGGGGGAGTTCTGCGGACAACCTGAGTCAGAAAGGGAAAAAAAAAAAAAAGGATGGATGTTAAAGCAAGTCAGATACGAGGTCAAAGCTGTGCATGGCCGGGTCTGGGAGCCACCGGGGGCTTTCTCACCGAGGATTTAATTGGGAAGCATGCCTACAGCTGCCTGCCTCTCAGCTCTGTGTGTTGAATGATAAACACACACCTGCAGAGTGTGGAAGTGGGGGGCGGGTGGGCACTGTTGACACGGGAGCAGAGCAGAGTCCAGAGCAGTCACTCTGCAGCTTCAGACAGCATATCCACACAGCCATTCAACCGCATCTCCTGTCTGTAGCTCCGAAAAAAAAAAAAAAAAAAACCTTTCACAATCACAGAGAAAACAGCAACACTCAGCCACATCGGGCCACATTCTTTCCAGGGCAGTGTGGATGTGGTGATTGATGGCGTTATCTATCGAAAGCAAAAAAAAAAAAAGAGAAAAGGGAATGCTGAGAAAACAGCAGTCGGTCTGCTACGACTTAACATGCAACAGCTCAGGGGGATTGTCAGGGAAGGCCTGGGGCCCCGAGCTGCGTCTGGATGCATGTGTTGAACTGTACAGTCGCATGTGAAAGTGTGTGTGTTTGAGCAGATGTGATGGGATGGGAGGGGAGAGACTGCCAGCCGTACATCAGGGCTAGTGACGGCACTAATCAATCTCCCTCTAGGCCATAAATCTCCAACTCTGCTCCCCACCGCCACCTTCACTCAGGAACACGGAGGCAGAGGCGACTGGTCTCCTCTCAAAAAGCCCATCGCATTCCCAGTGGAAGCACAAGACGTGGTCAGATATAAATATGAATATATATATATATATATGTGAAAGAAAACTGAATAACAACCCTGAACAATCAGAAACCATGGAGGGTATCATTCATCAGGAGCGTCGCTGTGTCACACAACACAATGATGACTGATTACAAAGTCTTCCACTTGCATTATGTGGCAGATAAAAGCAGCAGAAGCATCTATTTGAGCCCAGAAAGTGTTTTTATAAGATAAGGATCCAAATTTACTCCTCTATTTATTTTTTTTTTACTCAGCATGCTTTTACTGAAGCCCAGTTTTACCTACAATGGATAATGGTCACATTTATTTGCAAAAGAAAAAAAAAAAAAGGACTGTGGCTTTAATCTTGGCACCGCCTGTGCGTGAGTTGCTTTTTTTCAAAAGCATCAGCACGAAACACTATTGTTTCAGTCCAAGCCCGTCTCCTCCCGTATTAAAACGCAGAGCGGAGGCAAATATTTCATGTGTGCCGTCAGAGCCGGCGTCTCCGGCTAAGACGCGTGGCAGAGTATTGAAAAATGATTTCTCACGCACATGTCACAGCCGAGCCCTTCGCTATTTATTTTCTCAGTGAATCACTAAACGAACATTTAGCCACCTGCCATCGGTCCATTACTGGCTTTCATAGATTATCATTGTATTATGAAAGAAAACAATTGCAGTGATTACAGGATGAATTAATGGCGGGCCATGCAGCTCTGGGTCCTCTTCTTGCTCATTTAAAGGCTACACAAATGCAGAGCGCTGCTGCGAATGGTCGTAAATTTCAAGCAGTCGTTGAAGGATTCAATCGAAAGAGCTCCACAAATGATGTGACGTACCATCATCGGTATTTGATCAAAGTGAGAAATATGAAATGTCTCCTCATACTTATGCATGTCCAGGAACAATGTAATAATTGTGCTTTGCCCCGCTGAACCCACAGCCTTCCACTCAAGGTACTTCCAGGCTGAACGAATTGCAAGTGAATCGAATCTATTGCCTAAGTATTTAGCATAAATAATGGGTACTGAGTTGCAGTTGCAAGCTGTATTTTTACTGTGCTTCGCATCCTCCATTGCTGCTTCGCTGACACAGAGCACAGGCACAACGGGAGGAGCACAGCAGAGTGCATGTGCAGAACTGTTTTGACATGCAAACATCACATTCATTGCGTGTTGTCCACACTGACTCCATACAAGTGCCTCGTCTGTAGAAACCTCAAACTGACAAAATAGCGTACCTATCATTTGTCTCAGTGTGAAATAAGTTCCCTCTGGCTGGCTATTTAAAAATAAGATGATAACAGTTTGAACGACTCTTCGAAAGGAACGGATCCACGTGATCTGGCTCCATTTAAACAGTCGTAAATCTCATCTCTGCATCACAGTGTGAGGCTGACTCCTATGGAGAACCCAGCGTATGCTGCTTTTGGACTAAAAAGCACACCAGCGCTATAGATTTTTCACAAGAGCCTCCTAGGGGGCGGTAATGTGCCAGTTTGTCAACTGTCTGCTCACGAGAGGAAAGGAAAGTGATAAAAGTAAACAGTAAAGTGACCTCACACACACACAATTTGTTATTTCTGTCCTTGGGATAAATAACCAAATAATAAAAGAGAAGAACCTTCCATACACTGTAGTTCTACAGACAATCATAAGTGTTGCTTTACTTCTGGTTTGATCTGAGTCAGTTTTCCCTTTCTGGTGTCTGTTTGGAGCCAGGCTTTGAAGGGGAAGCATTGCTGTCACTGGACCCCAGTGGTCAGACAACACAACAAACAGTCATGGAAAACGGGGGTTAGAGATGAGACAGTGTTACATTGTGAAGGATTGGAGGGTTTCAACAGTCACATAATCGTTAATAATCATTCAATTGTCTATGCAGTACATTCTGTCCACAGATCTGGCTATATGTGTTTAGTTTAAGTTGTTTCTATAAGGATGAATCTCTAATTGGTTTTAACGATTGCCATGATAAAATGTTGCTACTATGAGCAACCCTTATAAGTGTGTTTGTGTTTAATTGTTCATAAAATGCTGCATCTTAAACACTTCAGAGCACATGGAAGCAGAAAGCAGTTAAATTAAAGAAGTGATATTCAATCACCAAAGACAACAAAATGTTACATTTGAACTTTGCTATCCACAGACACATTTCTGAAGAGTCCCCCTCCCCCCCCTCTTTTCTTAAAACAAAAGTAGTCCTCTGCCTCTAGCTGGCTGCCAGTGCTAAATAAGCTATTAGCTGGATGTATTCAGTATTCAGGAGCGTCTGTGTTTGTTTTTTTACTTGTTACTTTTTTGTTGCATTTCTTGGACTTCTACTCCTGCAACCAGAGGTCTGGCTAAACTCAGCAGAACAGCTAAAATACGAGGCTGAAGGACTTAGACAAGTTAGAAAAGAGTCAAACCTTCACAATAAGAGACTTAATCATAATATGCTATAAAACTCAAACAGCATATAAAAGTTAATTAAATCAGTTTATGGAGTCCTCAGACAAACGGTCAGGAGCTGGGCTGCCTTTATATGCAAAATAAAAACAGGAGGATTTTAAGCTCCAACATAATTATTATTAGTGTCTCATCTTGTCCTCATGAAGCTGATACTGTTCATCTGCTCACCTCTGGGTGTATTAACCCACTCCTACTACTCTTAGCATTAGCAGTAATTCTCCTACAACCCCTACCACTAGTAGTAGCAGAAATAATGTTGAAACGGTTATGCTGACAAGAAGATAAACTGTGATGAATTTGCTCATAAAAGTTATGGTCCAGACTTTTTATGCAGATAGTAGATATTATTCAGAAAGAGTAAACTTCACTTGAGCAGTGATGTCTTTCAAACTAAAATTAAGGAGTTAGAAAATACACGTTGACACACATGCTAGAACGTTTTTGAAAATGTTTTTGGCAAAATTCTCCAAACTGATTGAAATTTGTTTAGAAATGTTTGCATACTTAGGCAATCATAATCATGATTTCACAGTTATGTTTTTGTCACTATTGAAAAATCTTAATGCATCAAATGATTTGAAAAGCATTTATTTATTTCTAAGCTTCGTGTAGAATAATGCACAAAATACTGTAATTTTATAGAGTATAGAATAGTTTTACATCCCCTCCCCAATTATAAAAAAAACACATTTTTACCACAACCATTTTCCTTGTCTTTTAACATGAAATGTGGCACAAAAGCCCATTTCACTGTTTTATAACTGAAGCCAAAATATACTTTGTGTTTAATTGTTAAAGGTCATGAAGAGGCCATGAAAACATGGATCAACACTTCAAATATCTCAGTCTCTCTCCCAGAAAAGGCTTCTTCTTCTTTTTTTAAAAACCGTTTTCTCAAGACATTACATTTGACCCTGGACCCCGAGGCTTCTGCATTGCACTTAACACCCGAAGTCACATGAGTATTTTTAAAGCCTGTCACCAGCAGCACAAAACAACACTTTTAGCACAAAACTGACAGTGAGAAAAGCACTAAAATGCATCTCCCTGATAAATCTAAGCAAATTAAATCTCCGCACAACCTCAGTTCACCCTCTCTCTCTTTCACACACACACACACACACACACACACACACACACACACACACACACACACACACACACACCCACACACACACACACACACACACACACACACAAATGTTGCAGATGGAAAAGAGGGACCACTCTATGTCTCGCCAGGTGCTCGGGGAAAAAATAAATAAATAATAAAAAAAAGAGGTCGCTCACAGTGCCATTTCCTCTCGCGCACAGGCAGCCCTGGCCCAAACACACTGGTACTTTGAGCTCATTACTGGCTATTCACATAATCCTTTCTCTGTGTTCTCTCTGCAAGGATACTAATTTCCCAACGAGCCCATCCTCACAGTCCATTTGTTCAAAGATAGTGGTTGAGAGAGGGGAAGCAGACACGTGGTGGAGATTGAGACTAAAAGCTGGCCTTAACGGGGAGGGCTGTGGGGGGGCATGGGGGGGGGATGCCGGCACACTTTTCCCCTCCCTGAAATGAAAGACAATCGTGTAACTACCCTCCATTTTTCTCCATTTGCTGTGCACCAAATGTATTCGGAGGCATTATACTTTGCTAAAGGAGACTGGCTCTTTTTTTCAATTCAATTTCAGGAACCAATTTACCGCTATTATTGCCTTTAAGAGCGAGGCAAAAGGAGCAAGTCTTCAGCTTGTTTGTCATGTCCCCCT